GTTGCGCCACATGTGGGCTTGGGCGTGACGGCTGCCGAGGCCAAGCCTGCTCCAGAGCTGGCCTGCCCTGGATGGGGGGGCCTCCCTGGGCTTTGGTGCGTGCCGTTGCTGGAACCGTGGCCGCCCGGCACCTCCCTGGCTCGGCTCGACGTCTCGAGATCTGCCCACGCGCCCGTCGGCGAGAAAGTGGCGAGCCGTCGCCTCAGGTGGGGTCTCAGGCGGTGGCCATCCGCCGAGGCCATGGCGCTGAGCAGGCCACGGTGCTGAGCATGCGTTGCTGGGTGACTGCTCGGATATAAAGTCACGCTCTCCTGAGATCCGACGACGCGATGAAGACGTGGTGACATACTTCCACACAGGTCACGAGGTGACGGAAGCCGACTGCTACGGAGCCTTGCCGGACGAGCTGCATTTATGCACCTCTTTTCCAGCGCTCCGCGAGCGTCTTCGGCTCCGTATTGCGAGATTTTTGGCCCCGTCGGAGCGGCGGCTGACGATCCTGGGAGGCGATTTCAATTACGTGCCGCAGCGCATGGACAGACGAGCCACCACCACAGGAGAAGCCACTGGTGGGCGGGACCGCCGGGAAGAACGACACTTTCAGACCACTCTGGGCCAGCCATTCGGGCTGCAACGAGATGCATCAGCCCGACATGACCCACGGGTCAGCATCGTCCAGAGGGCGGCTCGACCGGATATACTGTAATAGCCATCTTTGTGAACAGCTTGATCGCGAGGTTCGTGCCGTGGCCTTGGAGTGGCGTCCGGGGCTTTCACACCACCGTGCAGTCCTCTTTGCCCGTCGCGCGCCGCATCGCCTACCTGCTGGGTGCCGTGGGGTCCCCGACACTGCTGTCGAGCATCCAGACTTTGCGCGCCGGACAGCGCTGGAATTCCAGATCCGCTGCAAGGAGCAGCCGCTGGCCTCAGGCTTGCGCCGGTTACATATTCTGGAAGATAGCACCACGGCTGTTGCGGCTGATCTGCAGAGAGCGGAGAGCGGGCAGCACGGGGCCGTAACCTCGGTCGAGGCAAAGCTCGGGGTGACGATGAAGTTCTTGAGGGCCGCCGAGGCCGAGGCCGTGGGGGAGATTTCAATCTGCCTGCAACGCTACCCTCATCTTGCTGCACTTGTGTCCAACCCGTATGAGTTCGGCGGCAACGTGGGCCGGAGGCTCAAATTTGTTCGCGACCACGCGGTCGAATTGGCCAGACAGCAGGGCGTGGAAGAACTCACCAGGGCCAGAGAGTTGGAGAAGGCAGGGGAGCAAGCCAGAGCGGCGCAGGCGAAACACAAGGCCAGTCGTCGTCTCTATCGCCTCGCCCCTGAGCGTGGGTCTGCCTTGCAAGCGCTGCTGCTAGGCGACGGCACCCACGCAACCAATCCAGAGGAGATGGCGGCCGCGCTGAATAGCCGCTGGGCCGCAGTCTTCAGGGCCAACGGCATCGATGCGGATTTGCTCCAGGAGTGGTTGCGCGAGGACTCCGAGAATCGCGTCGGAACGACGGGAGAGCAACCGGCCAGCCTTGTCCCTGCAGGGGGCTGGGCTCCATCGCACTCCGAGCTGCTTCGTGTCCGACCGAGACGGCGGCATATACAGCGTGCTATCACATTGTCTGGGAATTCTGCGCCAGGCCCCAATGGGATCCCATACTCGGCCTGGCGCTGCCTTGGAGCGTTGGCTGTAGACGTGATGCACGAGGCTTTCCAGGATTGCTGCGCCGAGGACGCTCTATCACGGCTAGCGCAGGACTACCCGTCGTTCAACGAGAGCCTGTTGATCTTCCTTCCAAAGAAGGCGGCCGGGCAGACCGAGCAGGGGCAGGACCTCTATGAGCCGGGCGGGGTGAGACCTCTCAACATAACGAACACTTCCAATCGTTTGTTGGCAAGCGCGTGTCGGCTGGCCGTCGAGCCCGCTCTCGCCGAACGTGTCACGCTGTTGCAAAAGGGCTTCTTGCCTGGGCGGTCGATGATCTCGAACATATTGGACATCGACGAGGCCATGTTGGAGGCTGCCATGCGGGAGGACGGGGCGTACACTTTCTTCTTTGACTTCGCAGTGGCGTTCCCGTCGATCAAGCATGATCTCCTGCACGCTTTCTTCGCCGCCCTCGGCTGGCCTGCGTGGTTGAGGAACTTCATACAGAGCTTGTACTGGAACAACCATTGCGTGATCTCGCTGAGCGGCGCGCGATTCTGTGGATTTTCGATCTCTCGTGGCATGCGCCAAGAGTGTCCTCTCAGCCCGCTTCTCTTCGCAGTGGTCTCCGACTTGTACTTGCGTCGCCTCCAGCGGCTCTTTCCGACGGCTACTCTCCGGGCATGGGCCGACGACCTTGCAATGGTCTTGCCGCGGGCTCTTGAGCACCTCCCTGCACTGCGCGCTTTCTTCGAGGAGTTCGGAAAGGTGTCTGGCCTCCTGCTGAACATTCCCAAGACGGTGGCGGTGCCCCTCGACCTTTTCGATGAACTCGCAGTCCGCCGCGCGGTAGGGTGCAGGGTGCCGGCCTGGGCGGGGCTCGGCGTCGCGGACGCCGCCAAATACCTTGGTCTCGTACTCGGGCCTGGCCGGGGGGGCGCTTCCTGGCAGGCGCCACTCAAGAAGTATGAGGACCGCGCCAAAGTGCGGGGACAGCTCGGGGCCGGCGCCTGCCTGACCGCTCGCGCGTATCAGGTGTGCGTGGCGTCCGTCCTCTCGTTCGTGGGGCAGCTGGGGCCGCTCCCCGATGATTTCGACGCCGCCGAAGAGAGGGCATGCGCTGCCCTCTTCCCGCCTACAGACTTGGTCACACCAGGCTGCCTGATGGATCTCCGCTCATTGGGCTTCCCATGGGAGCTGCGAGACGTCCGGGCCGCGGCCCTCGCTTCCAAGGCGCGGGTGGTCCGCTTCGAGGCGCGCGGCGACTTGCAGGTGCACGCCCGCGCCCGGCGCATGGAGGCGCTCCTCAGCAACGTCGACGGCACCCTCGCCCGAGAGGCCTGGCTAGGAACATGGCGCTCTCGCTGTTTCCTCCTTCAGCTGGCGCGCGCAGACAGCCAGGTCTGGCAGATGCTCCGCGCCTCCCCGACGGTTGTCTTACGACTGCAAGAACGCGAGGGATGGCAGCGCAGGGTCACGATGGTCTGTCGCGGGGCTGCCGGAGCACATGCGCAACGTCATCTCTGGCGCAGGCTGGATCGCTGGCAGATCGCCCCCCTCCCTGGGCTACGACCTGCTCGGGCAGTACGGCACCTTCAACAATTGGCGAGCCACGGCCACCCCCGTGTGCTAGCAGCCTACTTGCGGACAGTCTTCAACGGCTGGTGCGCGAGCCACCGATTCCAGGGCGCTGGCCCCTGCCGGTTCGCTTGCGGCGGCGGCCGGGACAAATTGGAGCACTTCGCGTTCTGCCCCACTGTGAAGGCACTGTTTTCTGAGTTCTACCTTCCCCCTTCTGCGTCCGGCTTAGAGCTGGACGCTTTTTTTAGGGCTCCAGGAGTTGCCGGTGCAGGTGGGCACCTCTCCGGCTCTCCTGTGCCAGCGGCAGGGGGTAGCATTGTATGCTTTGTACCGTCTGCACGGGGCTCTCCGCCATGGAGTGGTGGCGGCCGCGCACATCCCCGGCGCCTTCAGGGAATACTGCCGTCAAGGCGCCACACGTGTTGACCAGGAAGACGATTAGGTCCGGCCTCTTTGGGTACGTGTTTCACTTGTTCCTCCTCCTCCTCCTCCTCCTCCTTGTCCCCCCCCTCTCCTCCGAAACGGTGGCCCGAGTTTCGGCCACGTTCGCCGGACAGCTTCTGTCCGCTGGATGCCTGACTCTCTCGCAGCCTTGGCATTGCACCTGCACTCGGCGACTTGACAAGTGGTGAATTGATCATTGGCTGTCCGCGTCCTCTCCTGCCTCCTGCCCTCCCCCTCTCCAAAATATTGTGCGCTGACCAAGAAATCGTGAGAAATCGCGACCGGAGCCCCAGACCCCATCCTTCTCCCATCCTTCTGAAGCTTTTTCGAGCTGGATCGATCTATGAGGGTCAGGGCTCGACATCATGCAAAATCGACGCCAGGATCTCAGGGTTGCTGGGGGGACTGCCTGGATGCAGTCATGCTCCCCCCCTCTTGGCCACTCCCCCTTGCGCAATCCCAGGTCGGTTGGCGGCTCAGAGGCAAAGCTGTCGGAGCAGCTCTCGACGCGTCGCGGCACGCTGCAGGGGCCACGCCCGGCGTAAAACCCAGCGGGCCCCGCGCAACCCTGCGCTGTGTCGGAGGCCGTCGCTGTGCATATGTGTGTGTGTGTGTGTATATGTGTGTGTGTGGGTGTGTGGGTGTGGCGCTTGCCGTTTCAGTCTTCCCACTGCGCCACGCTTCCGTGCCTCGGCCGTCACTGGTGCACTGCTTCTTCCTTGTCCTTCTGTCGCTTCCCCCTCTTTCCCCATTTCCCCAGGCCCGCGTTCCCCTCGCGAATGCCCCTTCGCGAGTGTTGCTGTCGATCCCCTAGAGGTGGATCTAGCTTCTCGACGCTGCGTGAGCTGGCGTGGTCCGCGCGCTTTCGTTTGATTTGCCCTACGCCGTGCCGCCACGCGCGTGGCCGCGGCGCCCCCCCCCCCCCCCCCAAAATGCGTGGCGTGCGTGTTTGTGTGTGTGTGTGTGCGTGAGAGCGTGAGTCCGTAACCTTGGCCACAGCCGCTCTGGGTCATGCCGCGGGTCGTCAGGAGGCCATTCCCCCTTCCTTCACTCCCAAGCCCGTCTTACCCTCACTTCCAGAGTCGTGCTTACTTTTCCGTTACCCTCACAGAGAGGTCCTCCAGGCCTTCGCTGCGTTGTTCATCTCGCTCGTGGCGTTCACCGGTCTGCTGGCCCTTGTGCCTGCAACTGGAGAGGAGAACACCTCGCGGCGGCATGGGACACGGGCGCGCGCCTGCCTCTCGCCCGCCGGCAACTTGCTCGCGTTCGTGCAGCACTGGCACGGGCAGCTCGGCACGGACGCCACCATCACTGCAGGCACCATGACCTTTGTCAGGCAGTTCGGGCGCCGCGGGCGCCGGCGGCGCCGTTGGGGGCCCGGCGCGGCGAGCATGGCCATCCCCCACATCCTCTGGCCGCGAGTGTTGGCGTCGTGAGGTGCGTCCCGCACGAGACCGCGCAGGAGGTGGCGAAGTACGTGGGCGCAGAGGGCGACCTCCTGGAGGCCGTGTGGGCGCCAGCTGGGAGGGCTAAGGGAGCGGCCAGGCGGCGCAGGCCGTCGAGGACCACCCCCTTCGAGCTCAGAGGTGTCCTGGACCAGGTGCTGCCCGTGGATGTGCGGAGCGTTGGGACGTAGAAGCTCATTCTCGGGACCTTCGACGGGGTGATCTGCAGCCTGAGCTGGGCGATGCGGGGCTTCCAAAGGCAGGTCGTCGGGAGCACTGTGTTTTGGAAGGTCAAGGAGGCGAGGAAGTAGGAGCGCCCGAACGTGTGCCCGGAGGGCTTCTACTGGAACGATGCTTTCATGCAGGGTCATCGGCATCGCTGCTCAACACTGGCGCCATCAATTCTGGCCTGCTCATCGCCTCGCTGGCGAAGGACGGGTGTAATTTCTGTCTCGCCAGTCAGAACCACCCAGGCCCTCGTGTGCATGGGCGAGGCTTTCGCGTTCCAGTCCGTCCGCTGCCGTGTCACCGAGGGTGTCTTCTTCTATGGAATCTTGCCACTTCTCATCCTGGTGATTATGCACGGGGTGGGCCTCCCCGATTTCTGAAGGAAGAGAGTACGGCGTGCATGACTCGTTGTTCGCTTGCACCCTCTCTGTCTCTTGGTGCTGTGCCTCCCGTCCTCCACCCTCGCCGCCCTCTGCCCTGCCTCCCCCTCTCTTCGTGCCCTGCCCTGCCCTCGCGGCGTGCGGTGCCCCCCCTCCCTTCCTCCCGCCTGCCCCTCCTCCCTCGGTCGGCCCGTTGTCCCTCGCGGCCGTCCGCCCGCCTCCCTCGGCTTCTCGCTGCCGCTCCCCGCTCCTCGCGTCCCTCGCCGCTCTGCTCGGCCCCTCCTTGCCGTCCTGCTGGCCCTCTGTCGTCTCGATCCTGGCCAGCGTTCACCACTGGTCCATCGTGCGAGTTCCCTGCCGCTCTCTCTCGCTTAGCCGGCGCGCCCGCGCCCGAAGACCTGCTATTCGACCAGAGGCGTGGCCAGGCCCGCGAATGTTTAATTCAGTGTGTGTGTGTGTGCTCTGTGTGTGTGTGCTGTGTGCTGTGTGTGTGTGTGTGTGTGTGTGTGTGTGCGTGGGTGTGTGCGTGCGTGCGTGCGTGCGTGCGTGCGTGCGTGCGTGCGGGCGTGCGTGCGCGCGTGTGTGTGTATATATATGTGTGTGTGTGTGTGTGTGTGTGTGCGTGTGTGTGGGCGTGTGTGTTCGCACCCTCCTTTGCCTCATTCCTCTTATCATCTGCTGCCCTATCAGCACAGGTGTTGACTCCAAGGTTACTTTCGTCCTCATCTTGCGAGTCTTGGGCGGTTCAGGCCCTCCGGTTTTCTCCCAGGGTCGATCCCGACCCTTGCGCTCGGGACTCGAACGCCTTCGCTGCCGCCTGCCCCCCTCCTCCACCCTTCTCCTGCTCCCCCTCGGCCTCCTCCTCCCTCCTTGTCCTCGTCCCCCTCTTCTTCCTCCTCTTCCTCCCCTCCTCCTCATCCTTCTCCTCCAGCTCCTCCTTCTCCTCCTCCTTCTCCTCCTCCTCGTCTTCCTCCTTGCCTCTTCTCGTGCTCCCTCTCCTCCTCCTCCTCCTCCTCCTCCTCCTCCTCCTCCTCCTCCTCCTGTTGCATGCGTTCTGCTTATCAATGACTCGTCCCTGTCGCACCCCCATGCGTGCCGGCAGGGCGGACTGGGTGTCTCGTTTGGAAGATTGTCGCAGATTAGGATCTGGAATGTTGAAACTTGCAGCAGTTTTGAGGAGGGAGGGCGACTGGTTTTCAACATGTGGTTCCCGATAAACGCCGCGCACATCCGTCTTCGAATGCGACAGCAGTTTTGAGGATGGAGGGCGGTTTCTTTTGAATCTGTGGCTCTCGGCTCAGCGCCGCGCGCGTTCGTCTGAACACACTAAACAAGTTTTTAGGATTCGTATGGTTGAAATCCAAGGAATTCTGCGCTGGCGCGATTCAGGGTTGCCAAGACGCAGCAATCATGTTAACTCGCGGTGCTAAGTCGCAGGGATGGTGTTTTGGTACGGTTTAGGATTCTCAGGGCGCAGCAGTCACGTGGAATCGCGGCGTTGAAGTCCCAGGAATGGTGTATTGGCTCGATTGAGGGTTCTCAGACGGTTGTCATCCGACGGGGCACTTCCCCGCGATGAACATGTATTTTTTAAGATACCTATGAAGATGGAATTTCGATTTTTTTCGGCTTGCAGCTTCGTTGGTGCGTCTTGGGTTTACAGTGGGCCTCCTCCTCTTCCGCCTCCTCCTCCTCCTCTTTCCTCAGCTCCTGCTCCTCCTTCCCTCCTCCTCCTCCTCCTCCTCCTCCTCCTCCTCCTTCTCCTCCTCCTCCTCCTCCTCCTCCTCTCTCCTCCTCCTCCTCCTCCCTCCTCCTCCTCCTTCTCCCTGCCTCCTCCGCCTCCTCCTCCTCCATTCCTTTCCCTCATTAATGACTTCTCCCTGTCGCACCCCGAGGCCAGTTATTAGGGCGGGCCGGGCGTTTCGCTTGAGACTTCCTGATCATTTATGACCCTGAAGCTTAAGAGGTAGCAGCAGTTTCGCAGATGGAGGGCGTGTGGTTTCAAAATGTGGCTCTCGCCTCAATGCCGCGCACATTCGTTTTAAAAATTGAAGAATTTCACGGGTTGAGGGCCACCCGCTTTTAAATTGTGGCTCTCGCTTTTGTGCCGCGCACATACGTTAAACAAACATGCAAGAGTTTCACATATTGAGGCGGTCTTTTTCAAAATGTGGCTCTCGCGTTATCGCCGCGCACACTCGCTTGAAACATTGCAAGAGTTTCACGGATTGGGGGCGGTTCTTTTTCAACATGTGGCTCTCGCGTTGGCGCCGCGCACATTCGCTTTTTAAATTCGCAAGAGTTTCACGGATGCCCATGATCAACGTACCAGAATTTGTGTTTTGGGAGGATTCAGGATGAGGGTGCACCAGTTACATTGATTCGCGGCGGTGATGTCCCAGGAACGGCGTTCTGGCACGATTCCCGATCGCCAACACGCAATAATGAGGTTGATCCGTGGCGTTGGAATCCCGAGAACAGTTTTTTGGCATGCTTCACGGTCTTAAGCGGTTGTCTTCCAACGCGGCAGTTCCCTCTGTGGCATTGAACCGTTGTAGAGGCCTATGAGAAGAGGGACCTTGGAGATTTACTCCAACATCATGGCCGACTCTTGGGTTTACACTGGTCCTGCTCCTCTTCCTCCTCCTCCCCTCCCCTCCTCCGGCCGCCTCCCCTCCCGTTCCCCTTCCGCCCTTCTCCCGTTCTCTGCCGCCCGCCGCCGCCGTCGAACTCCGACGCTGCAGAACCTTGCAGCACCTTGAGCAGCTGTTGTCATGGCACCCGGAGGGCCCCAGGCCCCAGCTTGCTGCGGGAACCTAAGAAAACACACAACATAACAAAAACCGACAAACAAAAACGACTGAACAAAAACCAGGGTATTGAAAACCACCGAGAAAGACCGGGCGCCCGGAAAAGCCCGGGAGACTTGCTGCGGCAACTCCCGGGCCCGAGCGATCCGCCAGGGCCCGGGGGCCCGAAGCCAAGCGACCGCTGCGCAACGAGTGGCGATGCCCAGGCCGCAGGGCCTCCTTCCCCGCCGCTCAGCTTGGCATCGCTCGGACGTGTGCATTTTTCTTTCGGCGAGGACCATCGAGGAGCATCCTTGATCTCTTGGCGAAAAAACCACGCACGAAACCGAAAAAAACACAGGGAATGGACGTCCGAGCGATGGCCAGTCAGGGGCAACGCTCGGGGGGGATCGGCTCGGGGTCATCGACCGCCCACTGATCGCCGCTAGGGGCCGGTGGCCCAGCCCGCCCAGGAGGGTGCGGACTCGCTGCCCCTGAGCCAGCCCCCCCCCCTTTCTCGTTGCCCCTCAGCCGTGCTGCCCCTCGACCTCTTGCCGAGCGCGCGGGTGCCGTCCATTCAGGGGCAATGTTCGGGGGGAATTGGTATGGGGTTGATGGTCTATTTTGTTATTTTTTTCTGATAGGGGTTGGGAGGGGTGGATCGCTTGTTTTGTTTAGGAATGTGTGGATTTGCTATTCCTGAGCCCCACCCCCCCCTTATCTAGTTGCCCCTCAACCATGCTGCCCCTCGTCCCCTGGCCGCGCGCGTGCCATCCCCCAGGAGAGCGTGGCGCTGGTGGCTCCTCGACGGCCCCGCCGGGCGGTCCCAAGGGGAGAGCTGCCTGCCTGAGAGGGGGCCTTCCCAGGCACAGGATGATGATGATGATGATGATGATGATGATGATGATGATGATGATGATGATGATGATGATGATGATGATGATGATGATGATGATGATGATGATGATGATGATGATGATGATGATGATGATGATGATGATGATGATGATGATGATGATGATGATGATGCTGATGATGATGATGATGATGATGATGATGATGTGGATGATGATGATGATGATTGATGATGCTTGATGATGATGATTATGATGATGATGATGCTGCTGATGATGATGCTGATGATGATATGATGATGATGATGATGATGATGATGATGATGATGATGATGATGATGATGATGATGATGATGATGATGATGATGATGATGATGATGATGATGATGATGATGATGATGATGATGATGATGATGATGATGATGATGATGAGATGATGAATGATGATGATGAGGATGAGGATGATGATGATGATGATATGATGATGATTGATGATGATGATGATGATGAGGAGATGAGGGATGAGGATGAGGATGAGATGATGATGATGAGTGATGATGAATGATGATGATGCCTGATGGAGATGATGATGATGGGATGATGAGATGATGATGATGATGATGATGATGATGATGATGATGATGATGATGATGATGATGATGATGATGATGATGATGATGATGATGATGCCAGGAGGAAGGAGGAGGAGGATGAGGAGAAGGAGGAAGGAAAGGAGGAGGAGGAGGAGGAGGAGGAGGAGGAGGAGGAGCAGGAGAGGGAGGCCTCCTCCTCCCTCTCCTCCTCCTCCTTCTCCTCCTCTTCCTCCTCCCTACGGTAGGGAGGCGCCGAGGCAGCGGCGACGGAGGCGTGGAGCCGCGGCCGCGCTCATTTTGTGTCGTGTCCACCTCCCTGGTCTGCGCGTCGCGCACACGCCGTCACGTTGCTGGCTCCTGGACCTACTGCCGTCTGTCCTTTGGTCGATTCCAGCTGCCAGCGCTGACCTTGGCCGCCGATGCCGCTTGTTGTCCCTCGCTGCTTGTGGTTCCGATCTCTGGATTGCGCTCTGGCGACATGGGGGATCGTCCCCCCACAGCGGGATCTTGTTTGACCTTCGCACGACTCATCTTCCTCACCCTGGAGGTGCGGTGGTGTTGAGCCGGCGCTGGCAGCGTCGAGCACTGGAGCCTGACCTCGGCACACCCCGAGATCGCTCACGTTCTGCTGGGC